GGGGGGGGGGGACATAATAATATACATCTCGAGTTCTTATGCACAGTAGAATTGTAATTGTGAATGGGCTGATTCATCAATGTCACGCTCATAACTGTGCCTGACCTGCAACAGGGAACTGCTGCTTTTTCTTTCCTAATCCTTACTATCGTCATTTTTCCTCTACTTCTTTTGAGTGTTTGTCACACGCTTGTGACCCGTTATTTCCGGGGTACCTTGATAGCCGAAGCCGACTTTGTGCTGTTGAAGTTAGAGAGGTGAGAAGAGTAAGTTTGATTCCCTGTAAGGACTTCTCTGTTGACATCCACTCCTTGGCGCTCATATGACCTTATGCAGTTGCGAGCGCCGTAAAAGTTCAGTTGTTAATGCTTTTAGGGTTTTTGTAAGTGTAACCCTAAGAGTAAATCTAGTGCTACAGATAAAGACTGAGACAGACGAGATAATAATGTATTAGGTGTTGTTATGTTGATTCATTTTTTTCTTCAAATAATGTTCGCCATTTTAAAAGAAAGTGTTCGAATTTTTCAGTACTTAAAGTCCACTGTTTGCTGTCAAGTAAATTCAGATTAACTTCATTGAACACGCTAGACAAAACATTTAATTTCACTGTTATGCGTCTTCTCAGTATTATTATTGTTATTATTGTTATTATTATTATTATTATTATTATTATTATTATTATTATTATTATTATTATTATTATTATTATTATCATCATCATCATTATTATTATTATTATTAGCAATACTATTATTATTATTACTAGAATTGTTAGTGTTGTCATTATAGTAGTAGTGATGGCAGCAGCAGCAGTAGTAGTAGTAGTAGTAGTAGTAGTAGTAGTAGTAGTAGTAGTAGTAGTAGTAGTAGTAGTAGTAGTAGTAGTAGTAGTAATTGTAGTAGTAGTAGTAATAGTAGTAGTAGTAGTAGTAGTAGTAGTAGTAGTAGTAGTAGTAGTAGTAGTAGTAGTAGTAGTAGTAGTAGTTGTTGTTGTTGTTGTAGTAGTAGCAGTAGTAGTAGTAACAGCATTAGTAGCAGCTGCAGCAGTAGCAGCAGCAACAGCAGTAACAGCTGTAGTAGCAGTAAAAGTCTAATCTTCGGCATTCGTATGACCTGAGTGGATTATTGTGGCATTAAAAGTCTAATCTTCAGCATTTGTACGACCCAGGTATGCTGCAAGTACCGTAATGTAAACCTTATTACTACAAGTACAACTAAACGAAAACTGACCAGGTCCATGAGCTGCCTCATCGCCATGCCCAGGCTGACTTCTACGGGGGACGGGTAGTCTCCACAGACGGGCCTGATGTCTGCCTCATAGCCCTTCCACACCTCACGGAACATGACGTCACTCTTGCTGAGCACTTGGGATCCTGAGGAGGAGAAGGGATTGGCAATTCCATATTATTATTATGTGAGGGTGGAATTATATTGTGGAGGAGAAAGAATTGGCATTGCTATGTGTGTGGGCGGAATAATTATATTAATATTTGGGTGGAATAATTTAGAGGAGTGGAAAAAGAATTGGTACTACCATATGTGTGGGTGAAATAATCCAGAGGAGGAAAAGGGTTTGGCACCGCTAAATAATTATTATGTGTGGGTGAAATTATATTGAGGAGGAGAAAAGATTGGCATTGCTATGTGTGTGGGTGGATGGAATGATCCAGAGGACAAAGGTTTGGCACTGCTATATTATGTGTGGGTAGAATAATCCAGAGGAGAAAAGATTGGCACTTCTATATGAGTGGGTGACATTGTTCTTAGGAGGAGAAAGGGTTGGCACTACCATATGTGTTGATGGAATAATCCAGATGAGGAGAAAGGGTTGGCACTACCATATGTGTTGGTGGAATAATCCAGATGAGGAGAAAGGGTTGGCACTACCATATGTGTTGGTGGAATAATCCAGACGAGGAGAAAGGGTTGGCACTACCATATGTGTTGGTGGAATAATCCAGATGAGGAGAAAGGGTTGGCACTACCATATGTGTTGGTGGAATAATCCAGATGAGGAGAAAGGGTTGGCACTACCATATGTGTGGGTGGAAGTATATAGAGGAGGAGAAAGGAATGGCATTTCTATATGTGTGGGTGGAATAATCCAGAGGAGAAAGGAATGGCATTTCTATATGTGTGGGTTATTATGATTGGGGGGAATATTTTTGAGGAGGAGAAACGATTGGCACTCACTCGATAAACATTTATCTCCACACGGGAATCGAACTTTGGGTTCCTGAATGCGACAGCTAAGCCCCTAACGGCTACACTACAGAAGCCGATCTTGGGATTCCGGGGGGGGGGGGGGGGGTTAGAGGATTTAGCATTCCTATACAAGTGTATTTCTGGTTAATTTAAGGAGAGCTCGAAATGTCACAACAAGAGTTAAATGTTACAAGCTATTGGTTTGGCCGCTGGGAGATAGGTTACACAACATGCTAATGAAAAAAACAACAACTACTAACCGTGTTTTTACAATGTTAGTAATTACATTGGCTGGGGTGGGGGGAGGGGAAGGGAATCCGATATCCCCCTCTTTCTCTCTTTCTCTTTTTCATTCTCATTCTCTCTCTCTCTCTTTCTCTCTCTTTCTCTCTCTCTCTCTCTCTCTCTCTCTCTCTCTCTCTCTCTCTCTCTCTCTCTCTCTCTTTCTCTTTCTCCATCTGCCTTTCTTTGTTCCTTTCATTCTATCTGCAATGCAACCAATTTATCTCAGTTAATTAATTGTAGATCTATGTAAATTAATGTTTCGGTGGTTCTGACTAGAGAATTAAGAAACCATGCTGTCGCTTTGTCTTCATTAACCCATTAACGCATGAGGTCTTAAATCTTATCTAGTTCTTATTTTCAGATTAATATGTTTCCTTTCTGGTTGCAATGAAAGGTTCCACAAGTTTGTTGTTTTTTTCTTCAAAATTTATATTTTGCTATTACGGGCATAGTGACCGACTTAAATTTTTCTCCAACTAGTTGGGCGCTCCGCAAGATTGGGTACGTGAAAATGTGAACACGGTAAACTGGCAAAAAAATTTTAACAATATCTAAAATTTTAATGACTTTTATTATCTCCAAACATTAAATATAATTATACTGTAATGAAAATAGATATAAAATGAATTTAAAAACCGGGAAAAGGGAAAATTGATGCGCTTGAAAGCATTTTTCACGCAGAGGGTAGGAGGGGCATGTGTCGCATGCTTCCTTAGACTTCCTTTGTATTGTTCTTTGACTCAGACATTCTGTATCTTCTCTGAGTTGGTGGAGATATCAATAAATATATTCCTGCATCCTTTTTTTTACTTCAGATCCAACTGTTCTTTCAATTCTGCCAGGAACCGGTTGCATACGGGCGGCTTCCGTGTATCTGATAATTTAGCCTACGTCTGGACCATTGGTCAAAATAATCCAAGACAGTCTAATGGGTTGACTACAGCAGACGTGTGTCGTCTTTTATTATTATTCTTGTTTTTGTTTGATTAAATTATGAGAGTGTTTTAGAACCCCCTATGGACACTGTTTAGATCATTTAGGAGGCGGGCTTCATCCTGCCTGTGACGGCAACCCGGCCCCGAGAGACACACAATATCCCAGAATAAAAACCGTGATACTCTATAATAATGATTATTATTTTTATTTTTATTATAATAATAATAATAATAATAATAATAATAATAATAATAATAATAATAATAATAATAATAATAACAATAATAACAACAATAATAATAATAATAATGATAATAATAAAAATAATATAACATTTATAAAAACCTTTGCGTGCGCGATCGGTACTGGAACTCGACTCTGTTGCACCCTTTGTCTCTCTCTTTCTCTCTCTCTCTCTCTCTCTCTCTCTCTCTCTCTCTCTCTCTCTCTCTCTCTCTCTCTCTCTCTCTCTCTCTCTCTCTCATCAAGCTAAAGACTAAAAATGGCCACTTTTTCATGAGGTTGCTGATCCTGTAACTGGCAATATTCTGGTCCGTACATAAAAGATTTTGATGTACCTCTTCGTGCATGGCGCCCAACTAATTCGGGCAGCATACCACACCATAAAAACGTGATTTTGAGTAAGTAAAAATAGTCCATGGGGGTGACAGGTAAAAGGAAGTGTTTGAAGATTATCAAGACAGAATGTCTTTACAAAATATGCAAAAATGTACTTTTGGGCTTACCTCTTATTTGGAGGCTGATTTTTTTATGGCTCTTATTTAATTTACTGATGCCGACTCCATATTGGATGTCAACAAAGGGAAATCACTCTGACGAGTAAAAAGGCTCTGCGGCGTAAAATTCAATTGTCGTTCCGTCTTCGGGTATCAAAATATTTTGATTAAAACAGTTATTTGCCAAACTGGGAGCACCCAAACACCATGCCCAACTAGTTGGGTGTAATGCATAAATGGGGGTTA